TTAGGAGAATCAAAAATGGGGGGGGGTAATGAAATCAGTCTGTTTCACACTGGCACAGCTGAATGGAGTAAATTTATACAGCATGCACGTTGGGAAAGTAAGACAGGCTTTTAAAATGCTCAGTTGTAATAATGTAGAGTGTTATTCAGTGATAAAGGCAATTAGACTGCTTCTCTTCTCACTCTGGAGTAAATTAGAGGTAACACCGCTTACGTCAGTGGTGTAAATCAGATGTCAGTTTAAGTCAATGGAGAATCAACAGTGTGAGATAAGTGTAAATCACAGCCTAATGCAGCCAATGCTTTTTTTTTTTTTTTTAAACATAGGAGACGGGATGCTGAGATTCACGTATGGTCATTTCACCTGTCTGAATCAAGTAAAAACAGGGAAGGGAGTAGAGGCTTTTCAACAGAGAATTAAGTAGTTAACTTAAAGGCAGCAGATTTGCTGTTCACCCCAACTGGGACACGGCACGCTCCCCCTTTCCCTTTAGTCATCCTGACTTTTGCTCAAGTAGAAGAAAACAGCAATTTGTAACACATTGCCCTCTTGACAGAGCCTTCCAAGCCTGGGGTCTTGAAGCATGTTGCAAATAGGAAGAAATTAAGCCCTCGTGAGAAACATACTCCTGTCTTGGTGCACGGGAAGAAAATGAGGGACAGAAAAGTAAAGGGGTTGGAAGAGGGCACGCTGGAAGGCCCGGGAAGAATTGTGATGAGATCCTAGGTCTCCTGAAGCCCAGTTTTGTGGGTTAACTGCTGGTCTGTCTGGCTTCAGGCATGTTTGCTATTTGTCAGGTGAACCTTGCACGTCATGAAAATTCAGTCTGGTTGACATATCGATCAGCCGGAGTTTATCACGTCTTTAGGACGACCAGAATACCCTGTCAGCCTGAAAGTAAAGAGGTTGAATTTCCCCCCAGGTGGAGAAGCTAAAGGTGCATGTGCAATGTAAACCCCGATTCAGAATAACAGCAGAAATCAGCCAGCCACCCTCCAAGATGAATAATAGTTAAAGAGCTAGGTCCTTCCCTATCTTTTATCTCATACTAAAGGAGGTGTATAGGCCTTGCACAGGGTGAATTTCACCAGATTCTGGTCATGTCTTCAGAAAAGGGTCATGGTAAAAGATTACCTAGTCCATTGCCTTTGCCTAATGCAACTTAAACCAAAAAAACAAACAAACCACCCATTGACACCTGTTTGGTAAAGCACGGTGACACAGGGGATTTAAACCAGCCTTAGAGAGGCTATGCAGATTTCCAACACAACAGATTGGGGACAGTGCAGGCAGCACGGTGGCTCACAGGGGAGGAAGCAGAAAGCAGAGCAGCAGATCAGGCAGGGGAGCACAGGGCAGGGAGCAGAAAGCAGAACGGCAGATTAGACAGAGAAAAGGGATCAGAGTAGCACTCAGCGAGGCCACAGGGCTAAATGATGGCACATCTACTAAAAAGATTGACCCGTACTTGTTTAAATTCTGGACTACCGCTGGGCTACGGTGGTGTTTCTGAAACTGGTACATATGGAAATCTCCTAGACTAGAGGACACACAATGGAAAGGAAGGAATGGAAAAGCAGAAAGGCAAAGGAAGGAAGGAAGGAAAGGAGGGAGGGAGGATTATACAATATCTGTTAGGTTGTTGAAATGCTTACCGAATAGTAGTAATAACTTAAATTGTTACTTGTCTGTATAATCTATAATGTCACATTGTAGAGGTACCCAGCAATATAACACGTTTAAAAAAGACCAGGTGTCCCTAACTGATAATGTGAACTACTAGGCGAAGCTAACACTTGATCAGACAAACCCTTGCTGACCAGCCCAGTGGATCCTGTCACTGATTGAGAAGTAGAGCCAGAAACTGTCTCGATATTTTGCCTGACATGTCTCTACATTTTGGCTGGGCAGTTGGCTATCACTGCTCCATGTGCCCAGCATGAATTCCACTTCCCAAATGGATTCTTCTCTAAGAAAATAACTTTTTATACCCATGTTTCAGTTTACCAATGAATCAGATTGTCTGTTTATTCCTATTGCCTATTTTTTCCCATTTATTACTGCAGTTGAAAAGGCTGAACCACAGCACAGACTCATTTTCTAGTGTCACAAAAAGAAAAGGCCTTAGAAATTGTTCTTTCAAGCAAGGATCAAGAACAAGTCTCTTATTTGGCTAAGTCAACAAAACAAAGGTTATGTAGCTATTTTAAGCAACTCAAGTAAGGAAAGAAAAAAGATTTGTGCTCAGCAAAGAAAACTGAAGATGAGATCCTAGAAAATAACTTTTTCACTTTTGAATTTTGTTTTTGTCAACTTCATTCTCAGAATCAGTGCAAGTAGAGATGGGACAAGAACGAGACAATTCACAAAATGTATGTATCATTTAGTGTTTCTTGGAAGTGTTTATTTGAAATTCGTTTCTGCAAATTGACTTTAATCTTTAACTATTTCATGAACAGGTCACAGTCCCAGGATCTCCCGTGTCAGATAGGGTGCCTGGCTTCTTTGAACAGGTTAACATAGAAATCTTAGAGGGAAGCTTCTTAGCGAGAATACTTCGGCCAAGGAGAGGCATTCAGTTTCTCCTAGGAGAGTTACTGCACTCCCAGAAGAAATGATGTACAGTTGTTTAGGATGTTTCTCCCAGAGCAAAAATGGCTGCTCTAGGAGAAAAATAACATGGGAACAACCATGGTTAAACCAATTCCTGGGAAAGTCTCTGCTGAGAAAGTGACTATCTGTACCTCTTTCAAATGTGGTATTCAGAGGAACATTCTCTGATTTTCCCTTAAAACGACTTGCCCCCACAAATACTGCTGTTAGCCAACTTGATTGTTAGAATACATTGCAGACAGCAAACATGAAGAGGGTGTATACAAAGCCCAACCAAATTAATTAAGGAAAAAAAGCCCCAATGAATGCCTGTGAAAAGGTGTTGTGATATTTGGTCAACTACAGCTGCCAATTTGTAAAATAATCCCACTTTAGTTTTGCACTCCACGGGCCTCAGTCACTGATCAATTCAGGCCTTGATACTGCACTCATCACCATTGCAGCAGAAGGCCAAGCTGCGATTATGATGACTTCTTCTGTGATGTGACTGTCACATGCTATTAATAGGACAAAGGCCAACAAATCTATTTCACATCAGTCCACTTTTGTGGACTCTTGACCTGGGTCTATAGTCATAGAAATCATAGGGAAGTAGGGCTGGAAGGCTTCATAGGCCATCTACACCAACCTCCTGCCTGAGGCAAGACCATCCAAACCATCCCATAACACATCCATGTTATTAAGTTGTTACTTAATAAAACTACTGTCAACCCTGACACAAAACAAGACATAACACCCTAGCCTGCCACAAATTAAGCAAGGGGACCATGACAACCAATGTCCTGCTGCTGTAAAAGGCTGCTAATATACACTCGAAAGATCCCAGGTAATGCCTGGGCCATGCCCTCTATTACAGAGAAAGGCAACCCCCTCCCCACCAGTCCATTTCAATATAATCACAAATTAATATAAAATTCCTTCCAAATTAATATGGTGATTGGTCTCACTGAGCAGAGGGGCAAGATCCTCTAACCAAGGACCTCCAGTTTTAAGTCCCAGTAGGAGCATTGGTCAACGATACAGGTTGTCTATATTTTATTACCAAACTCTCAAAACAGTTTAGGGCCTTATACATGCCTCTACATTTTCAGAGTCATTTCTACTGTAACAAGGAAATGGACAATCTTTTTCCATCATGACTATTGTTCTAGGCACATGTCCAATGTACATAACAAGCTGAATTTATGGTAGGAAACTCATCCACAAAAGCACGGCCAGATAAAGAAAAGGAATTCCAAAGAAAAGGAAACTAAGCGTGATCAATCAAACCTCTCTGGGGAGTTATTTCCTGTGGGCATAGCCCGTGGCAAGAAACTGACTGATATTTTGTGCTGAAGAGAGTGAACATCATGTAACATTCACAGATTTATGACCCAGATCTATCATCTCCTAGTGACATGGGGAAGCAGCTCTAATCCGGGATGGTGATGTGATACAGTGGAAGGGCAAAGGCAGTCTCCATCCTAAACACTCAACTAAAGCCCCCCAGGGGAAGACAAGAAATAATGGACGCAAATGGCTTGAAGATTGCTTCAGATTGGACATAAAGAGAAACTTCTTCATGACTCAAGTGTCTAAGGTCTGGAACAGACTTGCTCCAGAGGTGGTACAAGCACCTACCCTGGAGATCTTAAAAAAAAACCACTTGATGCACACCTTGCTCGGGTCATCTGATGCCAGCAGTCTTTCCTGCCCAAGGGTAGGGAGGCTGGACCTGATCATCTCATGAGGTCCCTTCCCGCCCCTAACATCTATGAAACTGGCTGCAACGTAGCAACAGTTCTGCTACTCTTCCCCCCACCCCGAGCTGCACTGTACATTTTACAGTCCTTTGGCAAAATGCTAGCTACAGGGAAGTTTTGTCTGTGTTTTCAGTGACAGTAGGATTCCCTTCAACACCGCCCCTGAAGATGATGCATGACAACCACAGGGCATCTTGTCTCTACCCGAGTTAAATCTGTACCTCTGGCTCTCAGAATAATTTTAAAGCATCTGAGCTCATAATAGCACTCACAGCTCAGCACCGAATCTATTTTCTGATAAGGCCTGACACTTTCATTTTCATTTGACTAAAACTGAGACCCGGCATGCGCTTTTGGTGTGGGAGTTTACTGAAACCGAGTCCTTGTTGTTTTGCTTTGCTGTGCACAGGGTCAGCTCAACAGTAATTAGAGAAGGTCATTTTTCCACCTAGGGAAACCAATGCACTACAATGAATATCTTCCCCCCCCATCCCTCCCCATCTCAAATTTTGACTATTAACTGGATGGATCATCATTTTTTTTTCCTCCCCCACTCCTGGAAAACACGACCATCCAGAATTTTTACACATTACCCCCCTCCAGTCATGCCTTGCTAGAGATTGTACAGTATAATGCATGGCTTACCTGCAAAGACATGGTAGGAGTAATGAAATAAGCAGATGCTCCATCAGCAGGGTTTTAAAACATCGGTACCTCAATCAGAGATGCAGTCAGCCATTACATGCACATGCCCTTTATTTATGGAGCTGAGGTGTGTGTCTGAAACTCTGATACTTTCTCTTCCTTTGCTCTATTTTCTTATTTTAAAGAAAACCAAAAGTAATCTCTTGAAGATGCTATTGTTAATGGAAATAGTGATTTGAGAGGAAGTATCAGGAATTCATACCACAGAGATCCCCAGAGCTTTCCAAATCCCAAGGGCTTCCATTCTACTTTCCCTTTTCTATTCTTCGCCTCATGAACATGGGCATATTTGATCATTTTATGATGTTTTGATTAGAGATTAATCCAAATCTGTATTCTGGATATAAACACCCCCAAAATCCAATTCCAATTAGGGATATCAGGAAAAGGTTGGTATGGTTAGAGGCGAGGCACCATATGACATCATTCTCCATCCTGGAAATAAGAGAATCTTGCTCTGTCATTCTAATTAGTAACCTAAACTATGTTGCAAGCTACATTTTGAAGTCAATCATGTTGCATGGTTGGGAGAATTTTGGCTCAGGCTGAACTCTGTTTCTGATAATTGCCATACACCAGCATCACCCAAGAGTCCAGAAGCTAGATGTGGCCTCATAAGGAGTCTGTTGCTTGCTGCTTGATGAGTAGATGCTTCTCATATGCATCTAATTATTGAGCCACAGCTCAAATCAAAATGCCCCATTACAGCTGGTGCCTCACTTAATCCATTCATAACACAAACTAATTAGCATTGATATCTTTGGACCAGTTTATTCTGAATCTGAATGTTGCAGCTTTATCTACAAGAGGGTCCTGAATTCCAGAAGGATTTGGCCATTTGTACAGTTTTATTTCCTTGAAAGAAAAACCAGGCCTGCTATTTGGAAAACCAAGATTCAATAGTCTGTGCTCCTGGAGCAAGGCACGTACCGCTGAGCATGCCCGCTTTCACCAGTCTTCTGCCTGCAGAATAGTTAAACCTGGGATCACATTCAGGGAGTGGAGTATTTTCTTCCCATCTCAATCAATATCTCTTGCTGGGAAGTTACTTGGAGGGGAAATGGGGCAAAACCCAGGAAGCTCTTTTTCTTTTCCTTATAACAGTAATTGAGTATTCAACTGGGATCAGAACTGAGAAGGCAGGGTGGCCACCAGCTACATTTCCACTTGAACTTCTGATTATGAGAGGAGAGCAGGTGGCAGCGGGAGAAAGGGGATGGCAGAAAATCAGGACCCTCCGTCTTTAGATCTGGTAACAACCCTAGCAGCGTGCTGCAGGGGTTGCACTTGGAAACTGGTGATATAAGCAATTGCCACTTGGCAAAAAAACAACTTTCCGCTCCTCCCACGAACCACAATTTCAGTTTAATTTGTAACAAGATGCAAGTGTAAACGAACTGACAACAGAGCTATCAGCTATTCCGTTGGTAACACTTGGAGCAACAGTACTTCGATTTGACTAGACACAGCTGTCCACTGTATGTAGTGACCTTTAGCCCCGTCCTTGGCGAAATGCAATTCTCTTCATGTCTGACTCTGTCCACAGGGACTTGAGTAGCAAGGCTGCCAGAATAATCAGAACGCTGCTTAATGACAGGCACTCAAACAAGCAAAGCGATTATGCATTGTCAGAAATGGAGTCTGCAACTCCAGGGAGGAAAAGGGAGGGGGAGGCCTTGTTATTATTCAGAAGGAAATAAAGCAGTTATATATGTGCAAATGCATAGGAACATAGATGTGTTTATTTGCTGAGTGCTAATGATGTGCTCAGCTCTGCATACATGTCTGCAAAAGTATAATTACCTAATGGGAATGAGTATATAAGAATACATTTGATTATCTTTTCAGACTCAGCTTCTAGACATGAAAGCTGCACTCCCAACAGGAACTGCAAGTGCAAATCGGAATCAATAGTTACACACATGCATGACCCTGCATATCCCATCTGTGCGTTTAAATGTGCACCTATACATATGGTATCTGGTAATATAATAACCAGAATAACAATTATAATAAGTACTATACAAAATCATTATTAAAGAAAATTAGTTGGCAAGTTTAACGTTTAAATACTAGGTGATGCTAGATCTACTCTGGCTTGTGCACCCTGAATGCTGCTTCCCGGTGTTTCTAAGTGGCGTAAGGGATGCAGCATACATCGCGGGGTGGGGGAGGAGAAGCATGTGGGCACATAATTAAATGACGCTACCATAAGGCATGTGTACAAGAGCACCATGTGAAGGCTATGTGGGAAACTCTGAATCTGACATTTTCTACCTGTTCAGGGCTTGGCTCGGCAATTTAACTTCTTTTCTTTTCACATGGATGCTATTGTCTGTCTCCATTTATTTTATTTTTAAAGGGAAAGAAGGAAGAAGGGATGTTGTACACCAATGTAACAATGGCCTCATCAACGGGATTTGAGCCCTGAGGCCTCTGCACTGCAAGAGACTTCTGCTTCAGCCAGCAAGATACACGACAGTAGCTGGCAGCAAGAGGAGGCTGCCATCCCAGAGGCACACAAGGGAATCCGGGGCTATGCTCTGGGTGGAAGGAGGCAGTGTTGGGGTGAGGGTGCAATGTTGCACATCCCATCTCTCCCCTTTCCTAGCAAGAATTAGGAATTCCCTGCCTCAAGGTGAGAGGGTAGGATGCTAAAGCTGCATGTCGGAGCCAACAGGCTAGGTTGTGCCGGTCTTCTTGCTCCCTTTTTTGCTGTAACAGATCCTAGGACAGTGATGTACCATTGGGTCTCCAGCACTCAGGGGCCAATGCTTGCATTTGCACACCCTCCCATCTTTCTCGTAGCAATACTTGAAGTCATGTCTTGCGATACGAACTCTGAAGGGCCCAGCTGGTGCCCCCCGTCAAAGCCGGCGCCCAGGGGCCATGGCCCCCTCCTGCCCCCCCATCGGTCCGCCACTGTCCTAGGAGTTACCAGGGCTGCATATACCATGGTTGCTTTTGCAGGTGCTGCACAGCCCCGGCTCTTTTGAACATTCATGTTCAACAATTATTCTTACTCTAGCTTCCCACAGACCTTTTCCTGAGGAACAAGTGAGGGAAGGGAGATGGTGATCTTTTACCCATCATAAATCCACCTTTATGGAGGGGAATTGCATGGGGAAAATGACAACGAAAGCCTTTAACCATAGGGCTCCATTGCTGCCAAACTTCAATAGACCAGTTGCAAGTGATAGAAATATGAGAGCTTCTTAAAAAAAAAAAATTAAAAAAGCAAGAATGAAAAATGTTAGGCAACTTTAATATAGCAGGTTTCCCTCTACAGAACTAATGGAGGTGACAGACCTCCAATGAAACAAGAGAAGAATTTTATAATGGAAACTATTCACCTACCTAAATATAGAGTCACTACCACACCTCCAATAACAAAGACACTACTCATAACTGTGATATATTAGAAAGGAAGTGACTAAAGTAACCAGAGTAAAAGCTGCATATTTATGCTAGGCCAACATTTACACAAAGGCTTTCTGCAGTCAGATGGCCTCTGCAGACATCATACGGACCCACAGAACATGCCTACATGTCTCTGTATTTAGGCAAACACACACAGAGCTAATATCTGTTTTTAGAAACTTTTTTTTTCAAAGTGCATAGGAGGACTGAAGAGCTTAAAGGGCTAAGTTTCAGGTAAAAACTCTAACTGCACCAGCCTTTTCACTAGGGGCACCTCCAAACAGTCAGACCAGTTTAAAAATTATTGTTCTTAAATGACAATATTTTTTTATGCATCTGTTGGCTGCAGTATCTTGTAAGAAACTTGCCTCAGCCATCAAGAGTCGATGGAGCTGAGATAAGTTCAGTACAGCTCATTAGAGGGCTTGGCAGAAATGTAGCTGTTTCTTGTGATTACCTGGTGCTTCTACTTCCCAAAGACCAGAGGGTTTCCATTTTCAATTAGTAATGTGCAGATTGCAGGCACATAAAGTCTCATCATCCAATGAAATGTCCACTAGTATTTTCCAAGTAGTCCACTAGCATTTAGTTAATTCGCTGGCATACACATAACACATATTTCTCCCCACATGTGCAAAGTTTTTTTGTTCCTATTCCAGGAACATCTGATTATCCTCTACTCACACTGCCAAATGTGAGAAGAAAAAAAAATGCAGTTAAACAATAAGTTGTCCCAAGCAATTTAAGCAGACCCTATCACAAACACATCTCTCTCTTTTTGTATGCCATGGTCAATCCACAGAGAGAATTCAGACCATTTTATTTCTGTTCAACCATCACAACATCAGGACTTGAACAAAGCTCCTACAAAGCTCCTAGCTTTGACTGTGTCAATCCCAACTCTTCTCTACAGCTGTGAAGCTTGGGGCTATGAACAGAAGTTACACATAAACTGGTTTAAGTGATCAGAAACTGGTTTAAACCTGCAACAGAACAGAAGTTAAGTGCTCATAAACCAGTTTCAAATGGCTGAAACTGGTTTAAGATAAACCTGGTTGAATGTAGTACCAGACTTAAATGCTTTGGGTAAAACTGGTTTATGAAGCTTCTGTCCCAGACCCCTTCCTGGTTCAAGTTAAATCACAGTCCCCCAGCATCCCAGTATGCTGGGATGGGATGGGCTCTCTGCTCCAGAGAGCAGGCCTGATCCACCCCTCTACTCCCTAGCTGGAGCAGTTAGGGATGCCTGACAATGGGGGTGGAGACTGCCCCCCTCCCCCAGCAAACCCCAGCTGGGGTCTGGGGCCAGAGATAGGGGTTAAACACCACTTCCCCCACTCAAACTTACTGCTGGCTGCAACTATGGAAATCCCAGAAGCACCTGGAAGCAGGAAGAGGAAGTGATGAGCAACCCTGCAGAGTCCTGCTGCTGTAAATCTGGACTGCAAATCCCAGAGACCTCTAGGGCAGCAGGAAGAGGAAGTGAACACACAGCCAGACAGCTGTGCTCTAGCACCCTCCGGCTTCTGGCTTGAACCACTGCAGGCCTCTGGCTGCATTTCCTGAATCAAAGGTAAATGTCTGTTCAATTCTGCATC